TTGGGACAACAGTTACCAAGGAATGTAAGTCCCACTACAAGGAATGCAAGTCCGGATGGGACCTGTTTTCCTGATTTATACTAGGACTATATGTCCGATTTGACTTTTTCCCTCACACTTAAATGGAAGTTACATATAATAAATAATATTATGTGTGTATTAAAATGACCGGTGTGATTACCTTTATTATTTTGATATTCACAGACTGAATGAAAAAAAAATTAATTATGAAAAATAACACGTAAGAAGTTGTAATAAATTTATTTTCATTTTTGTAGACCTATTCATTTGTCAGATAAATTTTGAAATTGGAGCCGTTGATGGCACCTTTAAGGGTGCATCCCCCTTCAATTTGTAGGATGTACGCTCCCAATTTTGATATTCCTTTTACTACATAAGGCCCTAGCCAGGAATCTTCCTGCTTTCCACCTTACGACTATTCGCCAAAGTACATCATCATGACTACCATCATTACTGCATTGTTCGTCATCCGAGACGTCCTTCACTTTCCTCTTATTTACTTTATAAAATAGCTTCGCATGTTCAGTCTGAAGTAATCATTACAATATTATATATATTCATAAATTTAAATTAATGACAGACCTTTTCTTCTGTTAGTGAAGTTTGACGGAGAAAAGCAATAATAAGTATTTGTCCTCGGACACTAAATGCTAGAGATAGTAGTCACCGGGACCTAAGACCTAAGAAATTGTAGTCCCCCGGACCTAAGATACCACAAATTGTAGTCCCCCGGACCTAAGATACCATAAATTGTAGTCCTCCGGACACTTATTCCAGGAGCATAGGTCTGACGGACTTACATTCTTGGGAATGTATATCTGCGTGTAAGCTAATAAGGCCTCTGTAAACGAAAACGGTGTGTATAGTATTGTGAACATTATGAAAAGTAACTGTAAATGAAAGCTTATTTATAATTCGACTTGTTAGTTCTTCGAATTACTCTTTTTCTGGGTCGGTGCTGTGCCTATCGGGTATGTGCCCTCTTGAAAAACTGAAATATAAAATCTATGTTGGGTCTAGAACGGGTGCTGCTCGTCCCTTCCATATCCAAAGTCAAGTGAGGGTGTGGTATCAGAATATGAACGTATTTATAGTAGTGCAAGAAAGCGCGTGGCATCTGTAACCAGTCTAAATTATCCGATGTGGCAAAGTAAAATGACCAGCAAACATGACAAGGACATAAAAACCACAAAAAAGTTTAAAACGCAATCTCAGTCTTATAGGGATTCGAGATCCCATCATACCGGTTCCCAAGCGAATTTTTGCGTTTTTAGCTGTCTAATTTGCAAAAAACAAAATGGCCGCCAAATTTCCAATTTTCTTCAATATCTCTGTAACTAGACAGGCAAATATGACAAATGAAGTGTCTTTACCTATATTTCCAGGGTCAAGGAACATTATGAAGATATTTCTGTTAGAATTAGATTTACACAACTTTCATAAATATGCAAATTAGAACCGCCATTACTGAAAAACTGCTTTTCTTCTGTATCTCTTGAACTAGGCAAGCAAACATGACACATGAAGTGCCCACACCCATGTTTTATAAAGTCAAAAAGACATATGGGCGGTATGTACATACGGTATTTAGGTAGCATTTTCTTATAGTCCGTTTAAAACCACCCTGAGTTTCAGAGATAACTTAACACTTACCTCTTCACTATAGCCTATCTACGTCGGGTCGTAACTTGACACGACGTAGATAGGCTATAGTAAAGAGGTTAGTGTCAAGTTATCTCTGAAGCTCAGGGTGTTTAAAACCCACGTTAACTTATTTTTCTAACCTCACATACCCCATTTATTTTATATAGAGGGGTTATAATTTGTTTGACATATTTATTTTAGTATACGCCATAACTTTTGAGATTATTAGGCTTTACTCACGCCGTTTGCATTAGATTGTAGGTGACAATTTCAAAAACAGAATTAAGTCAAAAGTTCAAGTTTTTAAAAAACATGGTCCATATTGACACCGCCTTAAGTAGAGGAGATCCTCTTTAAGCCTAGCAAGGATAGCTGCTTTATTAAAATTTGCATTTAAGTAGTAGAGACTGGATTAAAAGGGGGGATCCGGGATGGGAGGAATTAAGTTTTTCCCGGATGATCCTCCAAAGAGAGACATAATTTTTAAAAAATATGTCTCGATAAAAGTTTCGGTATTATTCAATATTTCGCGAGGTATTTCAAGGCACGAGGCACGCAGTAGAAATTGATAGACGCCCTCTGGCAATTCGCCTCAGCCTGTCCCGACCACTGAAGTTATCTTATCAGCTCTGAGACATACAGTGTGTATTAGAACCTGCTCCTCCTTACTGGAGTGTAAATAGCGGAATGCAGTTTTAAAACAGGACTAGTAACCAGTGGACTGAGTAATGTACATACACATTTTATCAATAGCTAAAAAAACCATATGAAGTATAAGAATGTAAGTTTAAGTATACCTACACATTACTTGAGTTAATTTTGAGCTGAAAACTTTAGAGACGGATGTTTGGAATATTACTTATTTTGTGACAAATTATTCTTTGCGATCAGTATCATAACACTGAACATTATCAGCGATTAGATATGTACTACATGTATATAATATGCCTACGTTTTGAATGTATAATCTGAATATGACTGTGATGGCACTATATATAACAAGTTTGAACATATATGTTATATTGAACACTTTGAACACAGTGTGATGTAGTAGTAAAAACCGTGCCGGTGTGGCAGGAGTGCACGTCCTCGTAGCGCAAGTCCGCCCGGACACTAAGTCCTGGGAATGCAAGTCCTAGGGCATGCATTGCTAGGAATGGAAGTCCTAGGACATACGTTACTAGGATTCAATGTCCGTAGGACGAAGGCCCCCAAGTAATGTAAGTCCTACGAGTAGAAATGCACGTCCTAATGGGACGTGCGTTCCTAACATTTTAGTAACGCATGTCCTATATGCAGTAGTTTACACCAAGAAATGACATGAATAAATAGATTTAGAGACATACTAGTTTTAAAGATATAAGAAACGTTTGTTTTATGTTTTTCCGATGGGCAGTTTATATGCATATTAATGAAGAAAAAAAAACAATTTATTTATTTTATTTGTATTTTTCACCTAGTAAACGCAAATTTTGACGTGTTAACGCATATTTTTCGCTCTTTTTCAAAACCTTATTCCTAAGAAAAAAATCACTTTACACAAAACGCAGGATCTCAGTTCTTAGATTTATCTTTCGGTTTACACTCGCTGAAATTAAAAAAAAATCAGACTCGATGGAAATTTGCTCTTGGAAAGTATGGGCTGAGATTTAAAACAAATCAAGACAGTTTAGAAATCGTGTATGCTGACTTTGTGAACAGACCATCGACTTTTAAATTGATACTAATTTATGTATTAATTATCAGCAGGAAAACAATCAGATGTATAAAATTGGAAAGTAAGTAGTCACTTTTTCCTCATTTTGTGCACACTATTACGACTAAATTCTATACATGTATATGTTCAGTTGTGTATAATAGCACATAATAGCATATTATCCTGACATTACGAGTATTACGGTCTTTTTTCGACTAGAAATAGAAATAGTTTCAAGCAAGGTTATGTTCAAAAGCAAAGCTTTAAAAGTAATACGTGATAAAAGTGGGTCGTTTCGTTTTATATTATGAAACGGCTCGAATTATTAGTGTAAAAGAATTTTATCATTGGTCAGTGGGAATATGATGTTGGGGATTAGAGTGAATTTTGTTTTATATCTTCGCCATTGAGAGTATTTTGGATAAGCTGTTTATTATTCTAGTAATATCAACTATCCGTGTTAATAAAAGACAAAACATACTGTGTACCATTGTGTTTTTGCTTTTCTCTTTTCTGCATGTCTGAGCCCATTTATGCAATTTCTATGTGACCAGTTAACTCAAATTTAAGCGAAAAGGTTGATGGAAAAGTTTTATAACCGAACTCTTTATCTACATTTACCTTCACAAACTTTAATGAAGCTGCTGATAATTCTTGAGTCCAAAATCGGATAAATTTTACTGACAAAGCGCTCAGATCACATTATCAAATAATTAGATGTTTGTCAAGTTAGCCTATTTCACTGCTCCGGTGGTTGCAATGTTGACTAAAACCAGCCCTGCGCTGAATACTAAACATGTTAAATAGTAAAAGAACAGAAGGTCATGAAAAACAAATGTTATTGCACTTGTGGTCCACATCGTTCCAGGCGACCTTTGCATTGGAAAAACTGAGACCACATACATATAGCACTGCGAGGGCAATGGTCTGTTTTAAAATTTTCGACAAAAAAATCTCCGTTGCTTTTAAGGACATCATCTTCATGTACAGCGACAAGTCTTCCTCCGACGGTTGAGAATACAGACCGTGACTGAACGGTCGAGAACATCTCCTGAAAGCATGACTGAAGTCCATTGTTGTCGCTGGCTACATATATGTTCACAACTCAGGACCTTGCTGAGCCACGGTGCGACCCGCGAGTTACGTTTAGAAAGGTTGTACGTCAGCCCGCCACAGATACACTATAGTACATGTATAAGTACAGTACGTACATGCAGCAGTACATTAAAATTATACTGCTGTAAAATTTTGAATTCTTCCTCATGAAGGACAATGTTGTATACGTTTTTAAAAATCGTAAAGTCGACTTGATTCTTGTCTTCTGTAGCTGACATTTGCATCTGGCTCGTGAACTCCACCTCTCGAATTTTCACTTATCAGATCGAAAAGACGAAGTTTAATTCTTTTTTTCTCTCGCGCAAACTATCTGTACTGATACTATTTTAAAAGTTTGACTTAACTGGGAGAGCACTTAAGGCAAGAAACATGCGTCTGTGCCTCTTACGTTTTACGTCTATAATGGGAGCTGAAGTTGTTTTGGAAAGTGGGGGAAATGGAGGGGGTGCTCGCTGGCAGGCCCCTTTCTACCCCAGAAAACAGTGTGACAATACTACAACAAACACTTTGTGGTGATATGTGAATCATAAAAACATGTATTTCCTACAATATTACACCCACTTTTACACTTATATCTCACATTTATAGACCTACCAATAGCTGGGGCTAACAAGGGGGCAAAGAGACCCCCACTTTGCCCCCTTTCTGAACCCCTTATGAAATGGTCCGCTTTACTATGACAACCAACCGTCATTTGACGATCCCTACTATATAAACCATATCTTTATCCTCATATGATTATTTTAAACTTGCCTTTTCAAAGCATCCAAGCTACGCCATATGTTATTTCTATTACATTAGATGTATCATGTTATATATTTTGTTAGGTGTAATCATTTTTCTTTGCTACATGTATTCAGGATTCAAAATGAAGATATCTGTATCACCGTATAAAATTGCTTAATGTGCACAACGAGCTTAAAGACTCTTTTTCTTTTAAATCAAAAACTCAGTAAACAAGTAAATTAAATATCTCTACAGTACTTCATCATATATTAACTTACATGAAGGTGCGTGGTCCATGGTCTGACAATAATTAAAGACAAAAAGAGGAACTTTGAAAATCAACTCTTGACAAGAACAGAGAAGAGAACGCTTTTTTGATGTTCTTATAGATATACAAAACCGAAATTTGTCTTATGCTATCTCTTTCTAAATAAAACACGCATTCGCCTCACTTCTGAAATATTGTTAAGACTAGTATATCCAAGGTCAATTACAATAATGCCGTGACGAATGCAGAAGAGAGGCCACCTCCGAGCTGGCTATACTCTTAGGGGCGAAATGTCACGAGCCGCGTGCTTCTCTTCCACTGAGCGCTTCCTACGCTTACCAAAACCAAAAGCACCACCGCCTCCAGGAAACTGTGGGAATTGTGGGAATTGTTGGAATTGTGGGAATACAGGCGGAGCGCCGGTCACTGGTAAGAAACTTGCAAAATTCTCTGAAATTTAGATTTAGAATAAGAACTTATAATTTGAGTAACAATTATTATTATTTGTTTTGTCTCTATTGTATATGGTGCGCTAATCACTTAGTAATTTCTGTGATAAATAGATAATTCAAGAAATAAATGAATGGGTTATTAACAATGAATAAGTAAAAAATACACAGGGACAGAATGAAGCATACAAACTTACAAACACAGACAAAAGGACCAGCAGACGCAAAGGCAGACTGACCGTAAAGAGGAATCAGCAAACCCACACACACACACACACACATACACCCACACATAAACAGCCAAACAAATATGACAACTTACGCTGCTGTGGTGCCAGCTGATTCTGAAAGAAACTCAGGAATGGGTTGATGGTGGTCGTTGTTGCCGGCGGAATATTCAGGCCTGGGATATTGAGTCCCGGAATATTATTGAGTCCCGGAATATTAAGGGTCGGAATACCAACTGGAAAACAAAAAGGGAGTGCCAGTAAACAGATGTACAATAACCTTGGGTGTGAATCAGGGGGGGGGGGTAATATAAGAGTTATCACAACCACATCCTCACTCCACCCAACCTCTAGTTCTATTTTTTTTTCAATCTTTTAAATCATTTAAACCATTTACCATAGAACACATAATATCATTAAAAAAAGATAAACAGTCTTTCACAGACCAGGAATAACATTGCAGCGCGAAGCTCAAGTAAGTAGTGATCATCTTTCAACGTTATGGATCACAATTTACAATGTTCTAAAATCATAAAAACATAACCAATATTGACATGTCTCTCCTCTCCTCAGCTCATACGATACAAATTATCCCGCAGTGGCTAATTTCCCGGCAGATTACATGTACCTAGGCAAGGGCGAAGCCAGGGGGCAGTTTGGGTTATGTGTCCCCTCCCTCAGCTTCCCCTCCCCCCCCCCCTTAACAACCCCCTCCCTCAAAAAACAGTAAACAAGACAAGTTAACCAAACAAATGATAAAGCAAAACACTGCATTCGCCTGTGGTCAGTAAAGGTGTGTGTGTTTGACAGTTTGTGAGTGTGTTTATGCACGTGCGTGCATACTTGTGTATGTGCGTGCATGTGTGTGTGTGTGTGTGTGTGTGAAACCGTCAACATATACATATACATATACTTACATAAGTTCGAAATGATGTTGTTAGGATTATTTGGAAGGAAAATGTTCGGTAATGTGAAGGATGGGAAGGTGACGGTCGGGACGATCGGGGCGGCTGTGGTAGCGGGGGTAGTGGCTGGTGTTCCGCCACAGAACACGGTGATCCTCCTGTAATGATTCACACCGGGAGCCGACCGCAAGGTTCCGCACACGGCCATCCCGAAGAAGAAGTAGCACCCGCTGGTCCCGTTGTTGTAGTCAAATCCGAAACACATTGGGTTCGAGTTGCAGGCAGCCGCGCAGGCCATGAGAGAAGTCAGGTTGGTCTGCTCCACACCACCCATGATGTTCATGTTGGGGGTGACATTGAAATTAGCCAAGAGCTGGGCAAGGGTCACTGAAATGGAATATCTGACATTGATATATTAAGCCCTCTCTCTCTCACTCTTTCTCTCTTTCCTTGTGTGTGTGTGTGTGTGTATGTGTGTGTGTGTGTGTGTGTGTGCTTGCGCGNGTGTGTGTGCCTGTGTGTGTGTGTGTGTGTGTGTGTGTGTGTGTGTGTGCTTGCGCGTGTGTGTACACATACATGTACATACCTGTAAAATGCATGGATGTATGTTTCCATGTATGTACGTGCATGTGAGTGTAAAGTACTTGCTGTATAAAACTGGTTCTGCTGGATATCGGTATTTGGAGATATTGAAAGACTCCCTGAACGAACATGATTCCGAAATTGATGCTGACCGAGATACTTGTACAGTTTTTAAAATGAGTAGATAAGATAACAAACATCAGACATTATGTACAGTTTATATAGATGTCAAAAGCACCACCATATTATGTTTTACGGGGGTGTTCTATCAGGAATAATTCGCCTGGTACGTTTCCATTAAAATGCCATGCTTTACAAGTTGGTATAGTATCAATGAAATATAGGAACACTTACGTGTAGAAGGTGTTGTTGTCGCTGAAAGTAAAATATATATCAAATTATTTTCAAATTTTGGACAATGTGAAAAAACAAGATATGTTTAAACTTCCAAAGAAACATTTCACTTATTCGGAGATACATATTGAACATCTACGAAAACGTATAGGCCTATATTGCAAACACTTCGCTTATATAAATAGCAAGGAGAGACTGTTTTGCTTATGCATATATTAAGTCGGATAGGAGCGGGTTTAGACTCAGTGAATCTTAATTCCATCAACATGCGTGTGTATGAAGGTGTGGAAAAACAACTGTGTGCGTATATTTGATGCAAGAACAGATTTGTACTCGCGTAAGTGCTTATCTGAATGAGTGTAATAGGAAATATCAGAGGTAGCTCATCGTCTCGCGCTTTAGCGTATAAACCAGCGAGATATCGCGGAATTTGGATGGGAATGGGTCAAAAATAATGGCAGTCTAGCGGGTGCAGAAACGAGTAAGCTGACAGAATTTATTCATAGTTATTCTTCTGTTTGTTTTTGCTTAAGTTCCGTAGAATCATAGTCTATTGCACATCAGTACAGATTTATCACGTTTTGCGAATGGCTTTGGTATTGCTTTCTAAGGCAACAGTGCATAGAGCTTCACGCTGATTGTTAAAAGTTAAGCCAATAATACTCGTGTTGTCGTTTTCTATGACGTCACGAAGTGACTACACACAAGTTTCAGACAATCTGGGAAGGACCTCGTTGGCTGAAAAAATGCACAATACGCGCGTGTTTCAATTTCCACGCGCGTTTAGCACAACTCACTCACTTGTACAAGCTCCTACTCTCCTGTAGTTATTACAGGTCGTCTTGTTGACCAGAGCGTTACATCCAGTGACAGCAGTGTGAAGGAAACACGTATTGCCGGCCACGTTCCAGTCGGCGGCGATACAGGTAGACATGCTGTCACAGGCGGTGGTGCAGGAAGTGGCTGAGGTGTAGTTGGCCCCCCGGGAGCTGGACGCCGTTGGGGATGTGGGCGCCCATTGTCACTGTGTACATCTGTGCCACTGAAACAAAACAAGGGGAGATGTTCATAGATTCAGGAGGTGGAAACGAGCCACTACCACTTGTTTGGTTGTTGACAACCTCATGGGTATTTGAGTTATGTAAGAACCGAGTAGTGGTAATTTGGTACGAGATGTCTACAAGCTGTACCCTGGCTTGTTCTTAATCTTTAAATTTGACCGTTTGAGCGGAATGCACCTACGGTTTTGTGAACACTGACACAGCGAAACAGAGATAATACATACACATCCAGTGGTCGAAATATTCCGTCATTTTATCTAAATTTCAGAGCTACGTGTAGCGTTAGGAAGACGATGTTCACTTACTGAACGTAGGCGGCATGGTTAGTGTGGTAGGCGTCACTGTAGATGGCGCTATTGTCGCTGAAAGTATTAAACACTATAGTTTAACAGACGTACGATATCAAAGACTGGCAGTGTGAGAGGAAGGATGTGACAGGGGTGGGGGGAGGGAGGTGGGGGGGGGATGGCAAGGTTGATTATTGTAAGTTCTAAGTTTCGAGTTTAATGCTTTCGGGTGACAATCAATCAACGTTAACAACATCCATTCCAATATTCTTTCAAAGTTTAATAACCCTCAACAGTTCACAAGCTTTAGAATGCTGCATAGATTTTTTGGTCAACCCTGAAAATTTGTCCTACCGGGTAAAGATACATTGGATTTGTACGGGTAAATACTTACTTACATAAACAACGCTATTACATGCAAATATCTCTATTTAAAAAGCAAGTCGCCAAATGCATAACAGTACAAATCTCACAAACGTTCCCTTGATATCATGATATCATTATTATTATTATTATTAGATAAAAGAATACTTACAAATAGGCGTGGTTGCTGAAAAACAGAGGAAGATAAGATTTAACAGTATACAAATTGCACGTTCAGTAGTTTAAGAATAGTTGATTCGACCAAGTGCTAATGACGTACGTACAAGGCAGAGTTAAAAGACTGATTACCATGCTGGAACTATAAAGTATTACAAAAATAGTCCAATGGCGCGTGACTTGAACGTTCCGCGATCACGTGATCAGGTCACCGTGTCATAGTTATAAAGAACACAGGCCCGTAGCCAGCAATTTCAAAAGGGGGGTTCGTTTTCTGAAAAAGTGGACCTTTTTCCATAAAAACATCATGTACCTAGAGCAAATTTTACCCAGAGTGGACCTTTTTCCAGCAAAAGGGGTGGTTCTTTCGAACCCCCCGAACCCCCCCTGGCTACGGGCCTGGAACAATTATTTCTTTGAGTGATTAATCGCATTTTTTTCAATTGAAGATATATGTTGCGTTTATATTGTCAGGTAGCACATTTTGATGAAAAAAATAAAAAGTTAAAGTTTGATTTTTAGAAGAAATACAGAAGCATTCTAAACGTGAACGTATGTGAACGTTCGCGCCAAAAACGAGCACGGTGTACAGCAGTTCAACTTTGTAAATGTTTAAACAGAAAATACACGAGTTTGGCGTATTAACCCTTTATGTTATTTCAAGATTAATAGCGTTGTTAAAAATTTTAATTTAAGTAATTTGAAAAAGCAATATCTGAACACCAAGACGGCTTAAGCACGTGACACAGGACTTATTACAGTATAATGGGAACAAAACACATGTATTCTAAAAATAAGTAAATTTAAAGTGATGCTTTGGCAAACAAAACCAACCAACGGTAAATAGGTTTAAAAAGTGATACGACGCAACTGATAGTCGTAAAAGGGTCCTAGTTTAGGCACCCGCGGTGCTTGTAAGTGCGCATGCGTGGCAATATCGTTTCACAGCTGGCGTAACGAAACTAAGGTCCGCGTAAAAGTCCGCCTTTCATACACTTATAATGGTTAGGGTTAGCCTGACCTAAGTGAGTCAAAATCTAGGGCGAGGCTCACCTGTACAAATGAATGGGAAGCGAACTCTTTCATGAGGGACTCTCCGTCACGTGACAGTGGCAGTCAGCGATTAATATACTTACTGACGCAGTTATACTGTATCATCAGAACCGGAGACGAAGCATCAGTGCACCCTGCGAAGCCAATAGGAATAGCCATCGCTGCCAATAACAAGCTATTAATGCTGTTCATTACATTACACGTCCCGGCATTATTGTTGCAAATCGACTGAACTATAGGGAAGATATTGGGCTCCGTACACGCATTGGGCGTGCCCGTGTTTGGCAGGCAAACTTGAGACCCCACGACCCGACCATATGTGGCAGAGGCGATGGAGACGATTCCCGTGGCGCATGTCAGCGTCTCCATGTTGCCGAAACACGTGGTGGTGTTGGCTCCAGGGGCAGTGTCTGACAATGAGAAAGACAATGAGATCAAAGACATGTAGTTGACGGTCTCCATATACCTCTTTGGTAAGATTCAAGTATAAGACGTGGAATGAAAAATAAAATACCTTATAATTAACTGCCAATATCTTAACGAACTATTTAGGTCTTCTGGATTGAGTCACATGGTAGCCGTCTGATACTTACTGCAGACTGCACATCTGACAGTGATGGCGTTCAAGTTGGTGACGGCTGCGTTACACCCAGTGGCCGAGAAGTGGGTACGGCACATCTGGGTCGCTGTGTCGAAGGTGATGGCAATGCAGCTGGACCCGCAGTTAGCGGCGCAGGACTGCAGCGTTCTGGCCTGCGGTACCGTCGTCCCGCCCATCAGTTCCATATTCAGCATGCTCGTTCCAAATTTAGCCGGCAAACCTGTGCCCACTGAACAAAACATAACAGGGTTAAGCCCCCAACATGAATGGATTTGAAGAGCAAAAGATTTATTTTAGGAACTATTTTCAAATTGGTGCTAAATCCAATCTTGGACATAATAGCGAATGTTATTATGTCCAAGATCCAATATAACGCCACCACTACTGGTAGAATCTGGTTCTGTTTGATGAAAAATGCTACATTCAAATGTCGACCCAACTTTTCAGCCCATTTCGAGATAGAAAAATAGAAGTGATCATGAGATTAAAAAAGTAGTGCACTTACATAATGCCTAGGTCCCAACTACGTTTTGGACGCACAGGTTTTTAGGTTCCTTGCGTCCGGCTAGGACGTAGCTGGGTCGCACGTAGTGGCTGTTGATCATGTCGAAAAGCATCTACGTGCTGTTTGCGTCCTCCACGATGGACGTGCTCTTCGCGCACGAACTCCCACGTTTTCCCCATTTTTTGGACCGTAGACCTCACGTAGCAGCCCGTACGTTCGGTTGGGACCTAGGCTTTAAGGGGCGCTTTGCATCCTCTTAGACGTTTCGGGTCATTACAAACTCTTCACCCTACTTTATCACTGTACATTTTGTATTCTCCTATTCTTTACATTTGCACAGGATATAGACCGGCTACTCTCAGTACGTTTTTTTACGCTTGATCTTGTCTTTGGCAGCAAGTGCCCCCCTCCCAAAAAGATGAATAAATAAAAGACGTACAGGACACGCGTTTAACTGCGGGAAACACACAGAAATTAAACACACCTGTGTCCTTCACTTAACCAAATTTATTTCACAGGGAACTGTCATACCTAGAGAGGTCGCAAGAGAAATTATCCGCAAAGAAGTTACCTGGGCAGGCTACCCTGTATACCACCCCTGCTGAGGAAGGCACCAGGGGCGTCATACAGACAGCGGTCATTGTCATGAGCAAGAAACATCTGGTACTGGCAGTGGAGCTGTAGTCGAAGCTGATGCCGAAGCAGCCCGTAGAACACGCTGCCACACATGCCGTGATGTTGTTGGCGGAGTTGGCCATACCCCCCGGGATGGTGAACCCGGCATCTTGAGTGTCAAACATCGCGGGGATGGAACCAGGAGGCATAAACGCTGGAAGGGGAAATCAAATAAGTTCGGTTCTTTTATGCCGCATTACGTTATATATATTTAAGCGAGACTGACAATACCTTTGGTGAAAATTTACAATGGACGGCTGCTCATTGTTGCTAAGGTACAGACTGGATGTTAATGCTTTCAGAAGGGGAAATTACACGTGAACATTTCATTTGTTGGTGTTTATATTCTTAAGGAATTTAATCAGGTATAGAGGAAAGTGTATGTTACAATGCAGGGGCGGATTTATGCCGTCTTCTGAGTCTTCCGGAAGACGGTCAGATTTATAAGTTTACATTGACGGGTATTTAATGTTTTCTGTCGGAAGACGGTCAAAAATGGAGGATGGATTAACAAAGATAATTTAGAAGACTGTCAGAAAATATCTCTGGTTCCGCCCCTGCAATGTCTGTAATATTGAATGTTGAAATATTTTGTGTTTTATTTTATATTATATTCGTATGGTGTCTGAATCTTAGAGACCATTCCCATAGATATTTAGATCGATCTTTCCCCCTGGGGAGTCTCACTAGATTGCTGTCAGCTAAACAGGCTTAAATGTCCCACCTACTAAAAGCTGTAAGGGGGTAATTAACTTTTGCGCGCGCTCGGCTCCTGGAAGCTGACAGCAATTTAGCGTGAACCCCCAGTGAGTTAGGTCGATCCAGATGGATCGATCTAAATCTGTGGGAACCCAGTCTTGGAATGGTACACAATCCCAACAACAAATACAGGTTTTGGTGTATGATGGATTTAACTAACTGATTGACTGTATTCACGCAACGAAACATCATGTTGTCGACTTGCATTCTATAGTATTTCAATTATGTTTATGGACGGGAAACCGGTTGATAAAGACGACTTCGATGTCCGCGAACCTGAAATGATTAAAGGCAAATTTCAAGATAGACACAACTGACGTCATCGAGTATGTCTAATTAGGCTTTCTGAAACAAGAGCATTTATCGGGACAGTGTAGAGGTATAGTATAGAATGAGACTTACGACACAAATCGAGCCTTACGACTTCAAATGTTGCTGTAGCATCTACGATAAGAGGTCTCAGACAGGCGATAGGGGCCTGGTACAGCGTGCACGTGGGGGCCGTGGTAAAATCAAAGGCGGCGCACCCCGGCATGTTCATGCATGCAGTCCTGCACGCTGCTATATCGGCGGCTGCGACCGTCATTCCTTGTAACCCCAGCCGTCGACCTGAAATGAGACAAAAATTGTGTGAAGACGGATTCGACGCATTATTGAGCAGGTCATCTGTGAATATATGACATTCATGAAAAACGGAAAATGTGATGTTTGTTCAGGTGGAACGGGAATCGAAATCAAGCTAATCAGCCGGTTATTGTTTTACCGTTACAATAATTTCTTTTTTCATTGTTAACAGAGCTACAAATGAAATATCGGCTTGTATAACTTATTATTTTCTTTATATTCTTTATATTTCTTTTATCTTTATATATTATTTTATATTATATTTCTTAATATAAAAGAAAAGCTTACAATTGGAAGAAAATCTGAATTTGACATATAACAATTGAAGACATGGAGGAAAACACAATGCTTATGTTTTAATTTTCTCTAAAACAACGACATTCCAAAATCGACTAATATTAACTCAAATTATTGTTTTTCTTTTTATCAAGAGCTTGTAAAATATGTGGGTATTTCCTCCAATATTTCTGTGACTGTCAGCCACCATCATCAGGGAGTAAATGACTAATATTAATATCGTTAAGGCGTCCTATTTCATATTCTGCTTTTCAAGAAGAATATGCAATTACATTTCGTGAAAGGAAAATCATGGTGTCACTGTGAAATCTATCGTAGTCACCGGACGCAATCGCTTCTTCCAGTTTAAAGTTGTTAAATAATGTTGCATTTGTCTTATTTTACTTAAAACCACGTGAACATTGAGTGTTTGACTGGTTTCGCACCAGTTTAGACACCAGTACAATTTCAGCTGTATAAAAATAAAATGGATTGATCTCAGTAAATATATATATATTTAAAAACTGATAACGCTTGTCATTTTTACATTTGAAGAATTTTTACATTTAAATAAATAAATAAATAACTTACCAGCCTGTGCATCACATTGCGAGATTCTGGACAATACCATCAGCAATGAAAACAAGCTGCAATAACTTAGCAGACGAGAGACGCCGCCCATGGTCGTCGGTAAACCTGTCGTCTGCGCGCTGCTCTCGCAAACGAAAGAATGGTAAAATATCGAAATCAGCACCGCTTAAAAAGTCATAAACATCAGCGGACATTATTCATGAAATGTAAAACAAATGCAAGACAAGCAAGTCAAAGAAAACAATAAAATTTTAGAATTCCTGCATTTCTTAACAGAGCTGGAAGCAAATCCGGTATTTAGTTTATTCGCCATGCAATTTTCTCTCCTCATTTGGGAATTTTGGAAAAAATGACAAAAAGATAAGTTTGATCTCATGCAGTTTGCCAATTGTCTTGTTTATTTATTTATTTTCTATATATTTATTTATGCCCCAAAAACGAAATTCTGGCCCTCAAAGTAAGGGAAATGGGCATTAAAAATTATTTCCGACATTTTGACCTAAGACAAGGCCCAGTACAGGCCTCGGAGGGGCGGTCGGTTTGTTCCTTTCACATTCCATATTTTATATCTGCCTGCGAGGAACACATATCTTCAATGAAATTTATTTGTTTTATTATCCCCTCTGGTGATCGAGTTAAGTATAATGAGATTTTATCGTTCAACTCAGTTATGAAAAGCATTAAAAGACATTAACACTGTGTTGCCGTTAAAGAGATTTTTCATCCTATGAACTGATAGTAAATAGTAGCAATTAAAACTAGAAACGCATTAAATAGCAAAGACAACTTGATGAACTTTAGAATCTTTTTAACAAGGCAAAACCACTGCTACTGTTCGGGACCCGAGGGAAAGTGGCCTATCACTAAATATGATATCCTTTTTTTCTCCGTACATATTGATGACTAGAAATAAGCGAACCTCAATGTCCGACTACCACTACCGTTTTTGTAGTGCGACTCTCATTTCAAAACTGCTCTTCATGATTATCATTTGTTTAGAAAAGTTAATGTCGGACGACAGGGTCATCTTTTTGAATCGGGAAAAATATACTTGATACATCAGATATAATTCGAATGTAAACATTTTCGAGAAAAAGAGTCAGAATTTACATCACCTTATTTGAACTTCGGTAACAGCCCGACAAATTAAGCTATAGGTGAAAGTGAATACTCTTGTCTCGTTATTTTATTGAGCTTAAAAATGAAATGTTCATAATTTTGCTGTTTTATCAACGATTGCCAATAAATAATGCACATAGCTATGACCGAACATTGGACACAGTAATTTCCTCGACAGGTCACTTTGGCTCACCTGAACGAAGCATCTGAGCGATAAGAAGGTCAGAAACAAACAAAAAATCGCTGTGTTAATTGAATCAGACATATAATCTCCATAAACTTAGTTATAACCTACTCTTCCCATAACAATCATTTACACACCAAGTAGATACTCGCCTCTTATTTATAGTTATCTTTTAAAAAAAGTCTAAAGGATGATTGAACTCATTTACCGAGCCCGAGCGCTGCAGGCAGGAGGAACAACCTAGCGTACAGTAAGTCGACAGGAAGCGTCCAGTACCGTCCGGCACGACACATATGACGTCGTGGCGCCGGACAACAGATAGACACCACTGACGGCCACGAGAGGCATTTCCTTTGCTGGAGAGCACGTGAAGTAGTATTAAGACAGTTTGGTGCGGAAGGTGGAAGTGCTTGCGCGCATGCGCTGTGTAAAAGACCATGGCCACTGGATTTTTTCACCAGATATTGACGGATATATCTGTGAGTAATTCTGTGCACGAAACATTTACCAAATCTTAAAAAAATGTTATCGCCCGAAGATGGGCCATATTACGTAAGAACCTACACCAAACCTGTGAACACATTTAGAAAGGATTTTTCCCCGACCAGAGAAGTGTCCTGAAATAGACGAAAATCTTCCGAGTTTGTAGAACTTATGGAATTTATTTAACAAGAATGTTAACGTGTCCCTTTTATTGTTTCACAACTTTCAAGTCACGGTATTTTTTACTGTTTAAAACTTGTCTTGCCTCTATTAAATCGAGTTTAAACGTCTTTTAATGTCTGTTGCTTGTCGCTCTTCAAATTAAACGACATAAAAATTAATTTTGATTAACAACGCGTTCCAGAGGTCAAGGGCCAAAAGGATAAAACTCTTTTATTAGGCATTAAGCCTGGTGCAAAGACATCAAAATCCAAAATCAACACGACATCGTGCCGCTGAGGGCAACAGATAGGGCTAGTTTACCCGGAGGAAGAGCTGTAATACACCTGAATTTGCACAACTAGGTGGAAAATGTTGTGTTCAGTTTTTATTGCCTTCATTATTAACGATCGATCGGAATGCCAAGTTTTCTACTATTTAATCCGTGCCCTGGTTGTTTGTAAATTCTTAATTCTGTGACCGCTGAGAGTGCGCCGTGAGTAAATAAAACATCACCTTACACATACTGAAAGTGGTCATATTTATGGATACAACGCCGTGCTGAGGTTACAGACAATTGTCTCTCTAAGATAACCTGTAAACACATACATGCATGCACGTGAACACACACACACACACACACACACACTAAAAAATACTGTGCCAAATGTTCGGTTTCCTGATCGATTCTTATCCTGTCACAGTAATGGACGTGGTTGATAATAATAATAATAATAATAATAATAATAATAATAATAATAATGAATTTTATTGGTTATAGCACATTTTTACTAAAGGTCAAACAATAGTTCATTGCAACGACGATTTGTTGTGATCTACAATAAAATTAAAAGGACAATCACACAGCTAATGGATCATAATGCTACTTTATTGTGACTTGTGATAGTATCATTGTGTCACTATCAATACACCTGGTATTAATTTTGGGGGCAAGACATACCGTGCGTCAATAAGACGTATTTCTGAAGCTTTCCACTCAGCATAGCAACACTAGTGCTACGTAATGAAAAGTTAATAAAACACAAATGATAAAAAAGATAATCCTGCTACCACTGGGAAGTCTCAGTGAGGCGGAGGTTGAGATAACGGGCAGTTTCTCGGCGTTTTCGTTAACAGACCTAGGCCCTACTAATAGTCACACAGACGTCAAACAATATGTTAATGTACATTAAAGCTATCTGTGACATTTGTGAGAGATGCTTAGGTTATCATAACGCTTGACAGGTTGGTCTTATTTGGAAATACTAGGACTGGGTAGATTGCAATTATGCATTGTACAATCTGTGGTGATATGGAAGCAATCTTCTCGGCAGTGACGTCAGACGTCATTTCCGCTGTGGTGACCATAATGATACATTTTGTTTAAAAACGATTATAACGTATTCAAACAACAGCTATTTGCAATCTATGTCAGTGGTGAATTAAATATACTGCAACTGCCCTTGCCAGTGGTATTCATTTCCTCCCAATTGTAAACTGCATGTAGTGCAGGCAAGTATAGAGGCAGCTGACGTCATAGGCGCAGAGATTTTTGCAGTAGAGCAGATACTGGTATTGATAATACGCCGAATGGTCCACCCCTGCTGCACGGGTCGTGCTTATAGGTGACGTCATTGTCGTCGTCATAGAAACAGCTAAAAGAAACGACGTCACATCATTTATACAAGTAAACATGTAGGTCTATAATTGTTTCCGTAGTTAAGCCATACGGAAAGCGCCTACCGGTAAACCAGTATCATTATAGATACTCGGACCTGTCGAAAGCAAGAGTTTTCTGTACACGGGGAGTTGATAGCGACCGAATACAATAACCTTTCAGAATAATTAAAAAATTAAAACATTATTCATTTTCTTTCGAAAGCAATGTATTTCTTAATGCAGATCCCTCGAGGTGGTATGTGATTTCAGGGATATGCGTATATGATGACAAAGAAAACAGAATAATAGGTCAATATGTTTGATGTGTATTGATGTAAAAATGATAAAAAAAACTGCATGATACATAGTACCTTACCTACCTTAACATGATCATGATATACATGTACGGCAATTACTCATTAAAATTGCATAAAAAATCAATAAATCTCCACAGAACAGTATTTTGTCAGTAAAATGTTGTGTCAGTAGTTTTAGAAAGTAAGTTGACTGTTTGACGGAAAGTAAATCTTTTATGAGTAATCAAAAATGATAAATATTGAAAATATAGTTCATGGAAAAAGTGAGCTGTTTCAAAATTGAGCATTACATCTACTGAGGTACCTTAGTGCTGCTTCACAAAGGACTAGTTAACAAAGTAACTATTACACGCTCGTTTTCTCTTCCACACTATTAAATATAAATCCTGGGGTTAGTATGAAAATATAAAGACATAGTCATACCTTTGCATGCACTCGCTTTCCTGAAAGTAGTGCAGTTTTGCTTCGGCATCAGTTCCCCGCATCCGGTCAGCGAGGTGTGGAGCCAGCACGTCTTGGAGTATCGATTCCAATCCGTTGCCAAGCAACTAGGCATGCCGTCACACATGCGCGTGCAGGACACGAAGCTGTCGAACGTCCCTGAGTATTGTACCCCTCCTTTGATGTGGTAGCCATTGTAACGGTAATAGAGTTGTGGGGGCGGATCACCTGAGATAAGAATGTATGCTGCAGGTAGAAGGTTATTTGAAAACTGACACTTATAAAGACTATAGGACAGTGGAAATCTTTCTGTGGATTGGAAAAGTTGTAGGCACGTTAAAGGGATATTTTTGTAAAGATTTATTACTAAAAGATGCATATGAAGTCAATTTTTGCCACAAAAACCAACCAAATGCCAGCATATAGTTTCAAAAAGTATAACTAAGAGAATTACTAAAAGGCTTTGTTAAATATTACCCGAAAATGATATTTGGACGGATTTTTCTGCTAGCTTTCTGTGCTGTATATACAAGGGGCAGAAAAGTAGGTCACATAAGTAGGTTAAATTTCTGACCCAAAATTTAAAGAAAGGAGCGGTCTAAAGCTCTTTTTAAGGCTGATCGAGTGATTTATTCAGTTTATCCCTTGGCATGTCAACTTTGTTTGAGTCATGTAAGAAACTAGTAGAAGTGGTTTATATGTGTTACTGGGAATCCACGCTCTATCAATGCTCGGTTAATATGTACCTTTAATTATTTCAGATTAAATAATAAAAGAAATTCGAAACTGATAATAAGATATTCAAAAAAGTTGTTTATAGATATTATTCGATATGCATCTCCAAACAACAATTATAATTTATTCACTTTCTTTTTTTAGGGGGGAGAGTGGTTCCAGCAAGATTAATAGAAGACAGGTTAAAATAAATCAACATACCAACACAGGCCGTACTCTTCCTCAGGCTGATACAAGATGGCTTCATGATCAACATCCCGCAAGCGGTCTCGGCGTCATGGAGCCAACACGACAGCGTGGTGTCGTCCCAGTCTGTTGCTAGGCAACTAGGCATGTTGTGGCACATGCGCAGACAGTCGGTATAGTTGTGGAAGGTGCCTGGGTAGCGCTTACCCCCATAAATGTGGGCACCGTCATAGCGGTAGTAAAACGCTGAGTTGGAGAGAAAAAAACTGTGAAAATTAAAATCAAATTGCAAAATAGAAGTGACCTAGTTATAAGTAGAATGCGCGCAAAATGATGTGCTCAAGAAATATAAACTATACGATGCAAAATACAGTTGTAGGTTGATTTGTAGTGTTGATTTTCGATATTTGCAATGTTTTTGGATTGAACCCGTATCTGACGTTTTGCAATATACATTGTGCAATAGCTTTGTTATTCAACGTAATAAAAATAAATAATGTAATAGCAGCATCAGTCTAGATATAATACAAGGTCTACTTACCCTCTGCCCACACCATACCCGATATCAAAATAGAGCAAACTAAAAATATCCCATTCATCCTTTCACTAAAGTCTTCAAACGCAATAATTACCTAAAGACTGTGTTTACGTATTTATACTAACGATGAAATGAATGTTGGGGTTGTTTTGGGTGAATATTCTGGAAAATCGTCAAGTTTTGCTGGCAAGTGTAGCGAGCTAACGGGCAAGATGGCAAAACATCACAGAAAGCGGCCAAACCTTTAGAAATGACTTTATAATCAGCTGTAGCATTTTTTTTCTGGGGTCTACCGAAAGTTAACATTTATTTGAAAAATAACTGTAAAAAATTATAATGTAAATTTGTGTCACAGGGTGGAAGAGAAACACCCTTGAAAATGATTATTCGGTTTTATCCAAACGCACATGTTTCTAAACGGCCTTTTGATAAAACAGTTCCCCTGCTTGTGCCTGATTATCTGACTGCGGTTAATAAGCAATCATGTTGGTAAAATATTACCGGACGGGAGTTTGTTTGACAGGAATGGTTGTTCTAGGAATGGAAGGTTCTAGGGTTAGTTTAAGTATTGGGGGTCAGTACGTAATGGGGAAGTAATGGGGACAGGACTGTGGTTCCTAGCGGACAACCATTCCTATCACACCGGTATGGGTCTTGTGAACGCTCTTCTGGCGGATAATCGAGAGCAGCATGTGAACAACATTTCTGCGCCTTCATTTGTAATTTGTATACCCCCTTTTCTGAAATTGCAATACTTTGTTTGTTTTCGCTATACATTTTCTGCCCTTAACTCGTTTTACTTTATTTTAATTTTTTTTATCTATTTTATATATATATATATTTTTTTTTTTTAATAAATTAGATATCCCGTTTTTAANCGGGGGGGTTCAGCAAGATTATTAGAAGACAGGTTAAAATAAATCAACGTACCAACACAGGCCGTACTCTTCCTCAGGCTGATACAAGATGGCTTCATGATCAACATCCCGCAAGCGGTCTCGGCGTCATGGAGCCAACATGACAGCATGCTGCCGTCCCAGTCTGTTGCTAGGCAACTGGGCATGTTGTGGCACATGCGCAGACAGTCGGTATAGTTGTGGTAGGTGCCTGGGTACCGCTTACCCCCGTAAATGTGGGCACCGTCATAGCGGTAGTAAAACGCTGAGATGGAGAAAAAAAAACTGTGAAAATTAAAATCAAATTGCAAAATAGAAGTGACCTAGTTATAAATAGAATGCGCGCAAAATAATAGATAATTGTCATATTTGCTCAAGAAATATAAACTATACGATGCAAAATACAGTTGTAGGTTGATATGTAGTGTTGATTTTCGATATTTGCAATGTTTTTGGATTGAGCCCGTATCTGACGTTTTGCAATATACATTGTCCAATACCTTTGTTATTCAACGTAATAAAAATAAATTATGTAATAGTAGCATCTGTCTAGATATAATGCAAGGTCTACCTACCCTCCGCCAATACCATGCCCGATATCAAAATAGAGCAAACTAAAAATATCCCATGCATCCTTCCATTAAACTCTTCAAACGCAATAATTACAGAAAGACTGTGTCTACATATTTATACTAACGTTGACATGAATGTCGGGGTTGTTTTGGGTGAATATTCTGGAAAATCGTCAAGTTTTGCTGGCAAGTGTAGCGAGCTAACGGGCAAGATGGCAAAACATCACAGAAAGCGGCCAAACCTTTAGAAATGACTTAATAATCAGCTGTATCATTTTTTTTTCTAGGGTGTACCGAAAGTTAACATTTATTTAAAAAATAATTATAAAAAAGGAAAATTTGTGTCACAGGGTGGAAGAGAAACACCCTTGAAAATGATTATTAGGTTTTAATAAAATAGTTCCCCTGCTTGTGCCTGAGTATCTGACTGCGGTTAATAAGCAATCATGTTGGTAAAAGATTACCGGACGGGAGTTTGTTTGACAGGAAAGATTGTTCTAGGGATCAATACAGGTTAGGGTTGATTGGAGAATTTGGGGTCGGTAAGTAATGGGGAAAGGACTGCGGTTCCTAGCGGACAACCATTCCTATCACACCGGTATGGGTCTTGTGAACGCTCTTCTGGCGGAAAATCAAGAGCAGCATGTGAACAACATTTCTGCGCCTTCATTCGCAATTTGTATACCCCCTTTTCTGAAATTGCAATACTTTGTTTGTTTTCGCTATACATTTTCTGCCCTTAACTCGTTTTACTTTATTTTAATTTTTTTTTATCTATTATATATATATATATATTTTTTTTTTTTCGGGGGGGGGGTGGCGGGGGGGGGGGTCAAGAATGAGGACGCAACCTTCGTCAGAGCGTTGGTGCCAATCACCTTGTTGCAAGCGTATGACACAACGTTAAATATATTCATCTGTGTGACGGTAAAGACTTCGGTCACGGAGCCCATCCTAAATAAATAGGCCTATTGCCATTTACCACGTGATCGGTTCCAAACCCCCTCCCCCTCCCCCCCTCCAAGGCCTACGGTGTTTCAAAAATCGATTCCTGTCTATTTATTCATCTATTCATCAATTCGATTGTTCGTGTATTTATATTTATATTAATCATAATCTACAGTATTTATGTCTTTTGTGTGCATGGGGGATTTTTACTATTTGTGAAACGTCTTAGTAGAGATTGTAGACCCCCGCCCCCCATCACACACACACACACACACACACACACACACACCACCGCCATCACAATTGGTGCCCCTATACATTTTCTTCAGGCCTAGAAATATTACAATTTCAGTTTTGCCCAAGACAAGTCGATGAAAAAATGTCTCTTCCCGTCCATATTGCTACCTCATAGGTACAATAAATTCATATTTAATACAATCACTTCTCCTTTTACTGCATTTAATTTATTTCATAACGATATCTGACAAATTTTGCCCACGTATCTTGGGCAAATGCATTGGCCAAGCTTCAACAAGGGATTAATTTGTAGTCTCCAGTGCTTCTGTGCAATAGTCAGATAGACGAACTGCAGGTGAAATACCCAGCATAAATATTCAATTAATATCTGTTTGTCAATCTTAAGGCAAAATCTTGACCAATATCACGTTAACCTTTAACATGGGTATTTCTCAATCACCTTGTAAACAAAGCGCAAGAGGCAAAAACACTTTTAAGATACAAATATTGCTTTGGGCTTAGAATATATTTCCATAAACAAACTGCGAGCACCAGGCACTTAGGGCGACGCAAGCGAACTTCTGCTCCGCGGACGAACAAGGTTGGGCGATTCTTTCTTAGCTCTCCGAATTTGTACTAATTCTTTGATTATTAAAGTAATTCCCATTGAGAAGTAGATTAAAACGATTCATGTAATATGTGTCGGTAGTAAATGTACACTGATGCGCAGTGTCATTACTATCCACCACAGTGGCCCCGACTCTCGCGCAGTAGGCCCTACCCTCGCCAGGTGAATGTAAATGAGAGGGTCGAGTTAATAATGCAATCAGTTCTGGGTCTATTATACATGTACCTGCCGCCACTCTCTGATAAGAAGCTGTATAAATGTATTAAAATTCAATTATGTATACATTTTATTTAACGAGGTGGCCCATGTTCTACACAGTAAAAGGGGTGTAGGAATATTACTTTTGTGTATGACCGTGGTCTACTATATCCTGGTGATAAAAAAGAGGGTGCTGAAGCTTTTATAACTTTTCTACTGATTTATCTTACTTTCCAACACGAGTTCTGTCAGGTAGCAAAAAATGAAAAAAGTCATAAATTTTTTAATTTTTATTTATTCATTTTAATCTTTTCATTTAACTATTCTTTTATCTGTTTCTATTTATAACTAGGATATATCTCTTCAGTACACTAGAATTCTGTATGACAGAAAATTAAGAATCTGATATTACTTCCTTTTTTTGTTTAATTGTTTATTTCAGTTCTTATATCTAAAAGGAAGACAATTCCCAATATACTTATATTCATATATATTGTCTGAATAAATTCTAATCTTACCTTTTCAAATGCAAACCTGTTTTTTTCTACCAAAGATGAAAAAAATAAAAATCAAGATACAGAGGGCTAGTTAACTTTTGTTTCAACAAAGCACTGGAATTACAGTACTACGTCACAAAAAATCGCCAAATTTGATAATAAACTCTGTCTTAAGGTAGATCAGTAGCTCTTTCTTTCAATTTCTTATAAGAAAAAGAAAATAGAAAACAGACTAAATGCCTCCACTATTTCATTGACAAACTAGACACAGGTAATCTACAAAATGACAAGGTTAATGGAAAATGAGGAAGCACCATTTGAACCATTGTGGTTCACTTACTAAATATCCTTTACCTTCTAGGCTCATTATTAAAGGATATAAAATCACAAAAATGCATTAAAACAATGCATTCCCCATCAATTTCTAATGTGAAAGGCACATGAAACTAAAATCAGCCTCCCTGACTGCTTCCTCCAGATCTCTTCATGTACTAGTAACATATTAACACATTCAGAGTGAGAGATCACACTACACATCATGTATTTCATCTACCTCAAATCATCCTGATTGCAATAATGCAATAAGATATCTTAATATCAATGATATCAAATATATTCTGGATGTCTTAAGACCATATTACATATTTGTAACGTACATGACATGTGACCACTAGTGTAATACATTCTTTATATTACAATATATAATGTTTTATAACTAAAGACTTTTAATAAAAATCTCCACAGTTCCTACTCTGGGAGTTGCAGTGGTGATATTAAGTGGTATTTTTACACACACACACATACATACCCCCCCCCACACACACACACAAACACAAACATAAAGGCACTATCCCTCTCTCTCTTGCAGACACGTGCACATACGGACACAAGCACATATGAACTTAGACATACAGACAGAAACACAGAAACACAAAGCACACTAACGCACTCCTACAAACATGCACGTATGTGCGCAAACTTACACACACACACACACACACACACACATCTATCTATTCCATCTGTACCCTATTATATACACACCAAGGTTTGCAGACAATGACACATTTACTATACAACATCATTGTGGCATGCTGTACTCTGCATAACATCAGTGCCCTGTGGTAAAACCTCTGACATCATCACAATAATATGGCAACAAGAATCATTATGCAGATTTCATCCTAAGAATAATTCATCAATGTCACAAAGTCCCTGGCACAGACAAAATAAACAAGCAAAACATTAATCATTGATGGTGTTGTCCATTTACACTGTCTGGTCTATGGTGGAAAATGGCAGGGGCGGATCCAGAGCTATTTTATGACAGTCTTCCCAATTACCAGTATCTTTGTTGACCCATCCTCTATTTTTGAACGTTTTCCAAAAGAAAAAATTTGATACCCGTTAATGTAAACTTGAAAATCTGCCCTTCTTCCGGAACACCCAGAAGACTGCCTCAATCCGCCCCTGGATGGGAAGATCTGAGAAATGCTGGTTGAGTGTCAGTTTAACACATTAACATGTCACTAAAGTTTGACAATGTCAAAACTGTCCACCGAGTCCTGACAAAACATCAGTGTCAAATACGTCCCAGTGGCAGACTGGGTCAGGGACAGACATTTTCCCGAGGCAGGGTTATACAACTGCTTTGTACTCTGAAAAAGATGAGATACAGAGGTGAATTTTTATTCAATTATGTCAAAAAAATTGAAAAATATAAATAATCAATGATTCAAGTACCAAAATATCAGAAAGGATAAACTTATAACAAATAAAAAATATGAAATTTAAATGATTGGAGATTGAGCAACACAAACACAAACACATAACCACACACACACACAGACACACACATACCCGACTTCACACACAAACACAAATACACAGTCATTATCCCAAGCACACACTCGCAGACAAACAAACACACATATAAACAAACACAGATATACACAGATAAATACACACACAGGTAAACAAACACACACACACATACACACACACATACACGGGGAAAAAAAACCCACACACACAGGTAAACAAACACACACACACACACACACACACACACAATACACACACACACACACTCAGGTAAAAAAAACACAGATAAACACACACACACAGGTAAAAAACACACACAGGTAAACACACACACACACAGGTAAAAAACACACAGGTAAACACACACACACACAGGTAAAAAACACACACAGGTAAGAAAACACACACACACACCTTTCCAGCCCAGAGCCATTGCTGTGTCCCCTGTTCAAAGTGACACTTCATAAGCCTGGGGTAGACCTTCCCCCTTACATCCCCCTCACTGTCCAGACACAGCAATCCTGACAGCAGGAACTCTCCTGTCTGAGACTCTGTCCATATCTGAAATAGGGGGTGTGAAATTATGGTCAGATACTATGATTGGGCAGAGCAATGTTGTTATTTTTCTATACTGTAATACTTCTATACTCTGTCCACATCTGAAATATGGGGGGGGGGGGAGATATGATGATAAAGTATCACTGAATACTGCAGAATTTTTTTCTCTTTGCGTTTCTATAGACTAAAATAATTTTAAATATAAATATTCACTAATATTTCAAAGTTAAATTATCATAATTAATATACAATGGTAATACTAGATTCATTTATAAAATATAGTATATTTACCCTATTATTTACGAAGCAAAATAAATCATCATTTGAGTTTAACTTAGAAAACAAAAAGGAGATATATGACAAAATCACAGTGTTATTTGTTAGAATGACAGCCACAGCCCTTTTCGCACCATGTGTTACACTGATCTGAATCAAAACTCATGCACTGATAATTACACAACAGGTTTTTTTTAGCTCTCTTTCACAACTTCTTTTACATCCAACTGTTTGTACCAATCAAAAGCTACCCAGTTAACTGGCCATGTCAAGCACCATCCAGGCTATTAGTTCTCTTGCATAGTGTTTCAATACAGATATGCATAAGGTACAGGACGAAAAGTTCCACTGTCATCTGTCTAAGCACCAGCAAGTATTAGATCACATCACCTGTGTTGCCTCCCCTGGCTTGCAAGGTACCAATATCAGCATGGACCTCTTGGTGTGGACACCTTGTTCTGAGGCCACGCAGGTGTTCGAATTCAGGTGTTTCAACTAAAATTTTAAAGTGGTATAAATATACTGTCAAAACTAATTACTTTTTAATGTTTAAATACTATAGCTAGCTTAGTTTCAGGGAAATCTTTTGCATAATATAACATGTACAAACTATATTATATTACAATGCAAAAGGTCATAACAATGTATTGACCACTGAAATGAAGAGAAATCAATTTAATGCAATATTTATTTTTATTAGGCAGTGAGATAAAAATGTTATACTGTACTGGTTTCATTCTATTCAATAATATCGCACCCAGGTCTATGTATTCAGTCACTGGGACCATTCCCAGGGCCTATCATACTCACTGTGGATCGGTCTATCTCAAAGAGGAATCTGGCTACATTGCTTTCAACTTAAGCTGCGTAAATGTCTGTCACACCTGATCAAGCTGCTAGGGGGTAATGAATTATCATTTAGCAGCTTCAGTAGGCATGCCAGACATCTAAGCCACTTAAGCTGAAAGGAATTTAGTGAGAAACCCCTTGGAGATGGTTCGATCCTGTTAGATCAATCTAGGTATGGTAACCCAGTCATTCACTCAGCCTGGTAGATTCTAAAAGAATACAATGTTATCAAATTGTGCTCCATCAAATATTGCTATCAAACATGAATTGTCATACCATGCCCTTTCTGATGATCTCTCGTTTTGGCCATTTTCTGGCCACCTGTCGGTCCACCTCTGGTGCCACGCCCTTCTCATTCGGGAACGTCTGCTCTGGGTAAATATTTTCAAGGTACCACTTGAATGACTTACACCCGAGTCTTTTTCGTAAAGATAATCTCTCGCTGATGTCGCCATAGCTACGTGACTTGGCGTCTGGCCTGACCCTGAAGTAATAGTTCTGTAAAGAGAGTGAAAATTCGAATGATTAAAAGTAAAATATGAAGTTTCAAATTCAGCATCTATTCTTAACTTGTAGCATACATAAATAAATATACAATTACTGAAATTTTAAGACAACAAAATGGCAAAAAGTGTTTATTAACATGGTAGTTGGATCATATATGATAATTATCAAACACAACCTGAAATACCTTCATACCGTAAGCTTATGGCCAACTTGGACAAAGGCCTTCATCAGATTGATGTGAGCAGACGTAAAGGCCACTCAATAAATTTGAAGTAAAACAAAAATATAGTGTGGTAGTTATAGGGTGAACAAAAGACACATTGACAAGAACATATACGGTGTGTGTCGATAAAAATGCATTGTATATAAAAATGTGTGTTTATGTCCACAAACGTGTGTGTGTGTGTGTTAAAATAAAAGACTTCCTCACTATGTAGTCATCCATCCACACATGAGCAGACCTGAGGGAGTTTTTAAGAGTGGTGTCTTCGCCCGTTGGTGAGCCGTACGGTCGCCTCTTCCTGAAGATATGGCCTACTCTGGAACATGGCATCAGCTCCAGAGTTCCCCCACACTGCCAGATCTGGGGAACAGAGCACAGAGAACACACTTGAAGGAATATACGTATATTGCTTGAATTACAATGCCTGTCAACAGCTGAACGCATTGACTATGATGTCATCACAACTTCCTCGTGTGAACTGCAGCTGATCAAAGATGAAATAACTGACTTGAACAAATTTAAAACAATTCTTAATTTTAGAATAAAATATCATAATCAATTGTGTCTTTCACCAGATACATGCACATTTCCTTACCCACACCTCAGTTGCTTACCCTAACCAATCCACTGGCAGTAGACCATTGCCCTACCCCATAACCTTACCCTGATGCCATTCCTTACCCTAAAGGATATCTCCAAATTCTCTCCTCCCCATATGTCCATCCCTGGATCATACTTTCCAAGATAATTAAAATAATCCCTGTCGATTGCAAACAAGCCTCCGGCCATAGTGGGGGATCTGAAAATTAAACAAATTTTCTTGATTATGAATGAATTTTTGGAAACAATTACACATTTTTTGGATGCTTTTCTCTGAAAAATAAACATGGTTTTTAAATTTTTTTTCACTGAACAAAGAAAAGTTTTGATAATCAATAATATATTATTTCAATACTTGGAATAACTTAAAACCTTGCATTTTTTTTGCAAAAAATATATTGACTTGTAAAGAAAAACTTTTCAATTAAAAACTCATCTAAAAGGATCCACATGCAAGATATTGACGTTTTTCAAAGCTTTTGTTTCAAATAATTAAATGATTTTATTTAGACTAGATTTCTCTCAATGTTAGCCACTTTATATTTTGTAAAGTAGGCACACCTCAGTGGCTTCACATAATCTTCCTTTTTCTGTAAAAGCTTAGTGGGGATTTGATCCCAGCGGAAGTACAGTCCCCAGTTGAACCCCCCTCGGACCAGAGGAGAATCCTTGTACACAAACGTGTCCGCGTCAATGATGTCTATGATGGGCATGACCACGTGCTTGCGGTCATCAGCTATCCTGGTCAATAACGGCTCCAGCCACATAGCATTCACCTCACAGTGGCTGTCCAAGAATACCACCACCTGAAGATGGGGGGAAACATTGGAAAATTAGTATTTTTTTCATTTGTCTTATTTCATCATCATCATCATTCATAGCCTAACATGTTCCACTGCTGGACAAAGGCCCCAGTATGCTTCTTCAAGTGTATTCTGTCTTAGACTTCAATTTGGTTTCTTTCAGTGCTCATCTAACTCATCCTTCCATCTCCTATAAGGCATATAATTTATTTACTACATGATAAAATTGATTACCACCTTTTCATTCACAATTTTCAACAATGCATAACCCTTTTAAGAATATTTTTAAATAGCGCAAGGGTTTTCACATAATTGCATTTGAAATTTGACAATGAAAACTTAAATTTGATATAAATTATAAAATATGAACCAGTCTTTTTTAAAAATCAATATATGATGTTATACATAGAATTTTTCTTTAAAAAAAAAGGTCACCTGTCCTTTGGCTTTATCAGAACCAAGACTCCGTGCTCTCATCAGACCTTCCCGCTTCTGGTTGTGGATGACCTTCACCTTTGGTAAGTTTTCTTCCACATAGCTGTCAAGTTGTCTTTTTAAATGATCTAAGAGAAACAAACACCAATCTGTCAACATGACAAGGATAATAATCATGCAACTGGCTGCTTTAATGAATAACAGCAATAACTTTTGTTTTTTTGGAAAGTAAAATGTTTCAGACATACTTTTCTTGAACTATTGTATCTTNTAAATTAAAAATTACTGTAAGACTAGCAAATGACATCTTTATAACAAACCAAAGCAAACTATTATGTATATTGATACATACGACAAAAGGCTTGAACAGAAATGTTAAACCAAGACAGTTAAAAAAAAACTATAATTTAAATGTTCTTATTAACCTAAATCACTAAAGTCATCGACTAATATAATCTCTTCTAGTAAGTGTGGAGGTGTTCTGTCTAAAATGCTGTAAACAGTTCTCATTAATGCTGTCCATGCCTCGTTGTAGAAACATATCACGATGCTGGCTTTAGGAAGACTGGACGGGTACGACCTGCGTGAGCAACTGAAGATAAAAAAATAAAAGAAAATGACTGAGTCCCTGACTGATTCAATGAATATGGAAACAAAGAATTATATAAATAAACAGAAATGTAAAAAAGCAAATACTAACAGACAAATATTAGAATCAAGAAAGCAAAATGACTGGGAGAGAATCTAAAATCATGCAGAATTGTCTGCATAAAATATTGAAATCTATGCAAATATGTAGATTCATCCAAAACAATAAAGTTGACATCATAATCATCAGTTTTTTTAATAAATGAAAACTAATAGACAAACATCACATGATGTAAACCCCCAAAACACAGATTCAATTTTACTGCACAATCAGCAACTTAATATCAAACAATTCAATCAAATTACAAAATATGAATTTTTACAATTAAAAAATAATTTTAATCCATTTTTTTTTTTTTTTTGTAAAAATACTCACAGTTGATGCCTGGTATCAGGAATTTGTCGGTGAAATCCTATTCTGTCACTGATGAGCTGATTGAAGGCATACAACCTGTACCCTGGAGAGAACAAAACTTATATTAAATAAGTTGTAAGAATTAAGTCATTTTTTCTTCAATCAACAGCTAAATACTGAAATTGTTTACCTCCAATATTTGGATGTCTATCAGAGCATCTTCATCCGCATTCACAACAGTGGACTAACTAGTCCCCAGATCAAATATGGCAACCCACTTAAAAGCTGACCACATAATCCCCTTATAAACACTAAATAGGTTCCCAGGGTGAAATAACATTCCTACCCAACTACCAGACTCCGCACCGAACGATCCTGAATTTAACAGTATATCGGACCACACTACATTTTCAAGGTGTGTATCAGTACACGCTTTGAAGTATCTGTCCCGACACCACCCTTGCCTAGTACGCTATGTGCTAGTGATGATTCTCAGCGAGGTTGGAAAGTAGTGTATGATACTGTGAAATGAGTACTGATGCACACCTTGAAAATGGGTAGTATGGTCCGTTCTACCGGTGAATTAGGGATAATTTGGTGTCGAGCCTTGTAGTTGGGTAGGTCTGTAGTTAGTCTGCTGCTTTGAATGTGGCCGAAGAATCACGGGCTGCAGAGACTGTGCCAAAACACAGAATACCACTAGTAGGTATGGTTGTGTGGAGTACGGGTGGGTTGTGTAGAAATTTCAATGGACAGATGTGTGGAAACAGCCCTAACTCTGTGAAATCATGTGGAAATAGCACTAAAACTAGAGGATCAGAGAGGCGATACCGCCTCCGAATATTGTACCACCAGCTGGAGCAAGCGCATTCGTATAGACCCCCACATACACAAAATAAGAGACACAGCCACCAGTCTTATGCTTGACAAGCTATAAAAATGCAATCAACAAGAATTTTCAAAATACGCAAAAAATATATATAACTTAAAATGGTACAATCAAAATTAAGTTCATCGTAAGGTAGGTCAAAGGTCAATTTCAAGGTCACAGTAAATTGCCAGTATATGACTTCCTATTCAACTTCAATAGTAACTATGGACCTATCTCTGCCAGGTTTGGAGTTAAAAGAGAAAGAAATTAGCAGAGTTCAGTTCATGATTATAAGTAGGTCAAAGGTCAATTTCAAGGTCACACTTAGATTGCCAGTATATGACTTCCTATTCAAGTTCAATAGTAACTATGGACCTATCTCTGCCAGTTTTGGAAATAAAAGGGAACCAAAATTTGCAAAGTTCAATTCATGATAAAAAGTAGGTCAAAGGTCAATTTCAAGGTCACATTTAGATTGCCAGTATATGACTTCCTATTCAAGTTCAAAAGTAACTATGGACCTATCTCTGCCAGTTTTGGAGATAAAAGGGAACCAAAATTTGCAAAGTTCAACTCATGGTGAAAAGTAGGTCAAAGGTCAATTTCAAAGTCACATTTAGATTGCCAGTATATGACTT